AGGTGTATATGGCTGGCGCCTTAGCCACTTGAGCCACAGGCGCCGAACCTTTTATGCCCTTCTTTATAAACCTGTTGCTATGCCCCATCAACTCTGTAAGTGGTCTGTCAAATGTGTTTGGCATTCAAAGGAAAGTTCCTTTCCTATTTCGCAAAACAGCATCCTTTTCTAAGCTATGGCTGACTTACTACTTCACTTCTATAGAAGTAGAATATAACTTACTACTTTTAGACCTCTATACTCAGAATCTCCTTCCCCTTTAAATTATTGAAAAACATGGCATTACACTTCAATATGTACAGAAGTGAAGTTCAAAACTCCTTAGGCCTATATTTAAGACATCCTATAATCTGAAACAATCTTCTTCATCTTTAGCTTACTCTTACCAAGCTAAATTGTTCTAGACTTAATGTTTTTATTTTTAAAATTTTTCTTATTTCTTTTCTCCTGTGGCCCTTGACTCAGGACCAGACTTAATTTTTTTTGTTTTTTGGCTGGGGCTGGATTTGAACCAGCCACCTCTGGCATATGGGGCCAGCACCCTACTCTTTTGAGCCATAGTCTCACTGTGTCCCCCTCGGTAGAGTGCTGTAGCATCACAGCTCACAGCAATCTCAAACTGTTGGGCTTAAGCAATTCTCTTGCCTCAGCCTCCCAAGTAGCTGGGAATACAGGCGCCTGCCACAACACCCAGCTATTTTTTTGGTATAGTTGTTATTGTTGTTTAGCATGCCCAGGTGGGGTTTGAACCCGCCAACCCCAGTGTATGTGGCTGGCGCCCTAGCCAATGAGATATTGGTGCCGAGCCAGACTTAATTTTTGAATTTTTTTATGATGCCAAAAAACCATCAAACACTTCATGAATTTGGATATCATTCTTGCTTGCATAGGGGAGATGCTAACCTTCTCTGTATTGTTCCATTTTTATTCTTTGTGCTGAAGTAAGCACCAGACTTAATGTTAAAACTAGTTTCTCATATGATGTCAATAAAAATAGTGTCTTTGCTCATATTATTTTCTGTAATTTAAATTCCTTCATTTTCACCTTTGTTTTCTCCCTTAAGGCAAAGCTTTGGTCTGTGTTCTTATATGAAATAAATAAGTCTTCCCTAAGAATCTAAGTTTTTTGTTTTTGCTTTTCTTCTCAATACCTACAAAACTTTTTTTAGTATCACTCTGACTTTACATTTTTTTTTTTTTGAGAGAGGATCTTGCTATGTTGCTCAGGCTGGACTCAAAACTCCTCAGCTCAAGGAATCCTCCTTCCTCAGGCTCACAAATAGCTAGGACTACAGGTGTGTGCCCACATGCCTGGCTTCTTTATTCTTGATGTGAAGTATGCAACTTGTGTTCTTGTGATTTGGAAGTATGTGCATAAACTGGTTGTTTACTTAGCATTTTTCTATAAACATAGTATAATGAATGGTGATTACATTTTTGGTTTATAAAACTAGTTTAACAGATACAATTAGGATTGAGCAAAGAAAGAATCCTAGTCTTTGTTTTGTATATAGTTTCTTTACTTCTGAACTAAAGAATTCTTGGTTAAGTTTTTAAGAGATGCCTTTAAACAGAGAACAAGGACAAATGTCAGAATAGGGTCTGGAGCCAAACTGGCTGATTTTAGGTCTAGGTGTTCCCATTTATTAACCCCAAACCCTTCATTTCTTTTTTTTTTTTTTTTTTTTTTTTTTTTTGAGACGGAGCCTCAAGCTATCCCCCTGGGTAGAGTGCCATGGCATCACACTCACAGCAACCTCCAACTCCTGGGCTCAAGCGAGTCTCCTGCCTCAGCCTCCCAAGTAGCTGGGACCACAGGCGCCCGCCACAGCGCCCGGCCATTTTTTGATTGCAGCCGTCATTGTTGTTTGGCGGGCCCGGGCTGGGGATTTGAACCCGCCACCTTAGGTGTATGTGGCTGGTGCCTTAGCCGCTTGAGCCACAGGCGCCGAGCCTAACCTTGAGTTAATTATTTCATCTTTCTTTTTGAGACAGAGTCTCACTATGTTACCCTTGGTAGACTGCCATGGCGTCATAGCTCACAGCAACCTCAAACTGTTGGGCTTAAGTGATTCTCTTGCCTCAGCCTTCCAGTAGCTGGGACTACAGGCGCCCAACACAACACCCAGCTATTTTTTGTTGCCTTCATAATTGTTGTTTAGATGGCCTTGGCCAGGTTTGAACTCGCCAGCCTCGGTGTATGTGGCTGGCACCATAACCACTATGCGGCGGGCACCAAGCCAATTATTTCATCTTTCTATGCCTTGGTTTCCTTATCTTCAAAGTAAGATAGTAATAGTGGATACATCATAAAGGTTTTTGAAAATATTAGATGAGTTGCTATTTTATATAATCCTTAGGATAGTGCCAAGTGCATATTAAATGCTATGTAAAATTTGTTAAAATATATTCATGTAAGATTTCTTCTAACTCCTTGATAATCATCTATTGAAAAATACCTGTCCTATTTCTCCATCTGGATAACAATAGTCCAGAAGACAGGCATCACTTAGCCAGTTTTTAATATTCACTACATTAGGTAAAGGCATGTTATAGATTGAGGCTATTCAATAAATACTGGTTACTCATTTAACTCATATTCATGATATTAAATTTTCTCATAAGAAACTATTAAAATTCAAACCTTCTCAAGAAGTATTTCCAAATTTAAAAATTTGGCTCCATGGCTTGGCACCCGTAACACAGTGGTTACAGCACCAGCCACGTACACCAAGGGTGGTGGGTTTGAACCTGGCCCAGGCCAGCTAAACAACTGCAACAACAACAACAAAAAATAGCTGGGCCTTGTGGCGGATGCCTGTAGTCCCAGCTACTTAGGAAGCTGAGACAAGAGAAGTGCTGTGACTTCACAGCACTCTACCATGGGCGACATAATGAGACTCTGTCTAAAAAGAAAAAAAAAAAAATTGAAAAATTTACTTAATTTGGCTAGGCACAGTGACTGATGCCTGTAATCCTAGCTCTCTGGGAGGCCCAGGAGGGTAGGGTAGATTGCTTGCGCTCAGGAGTTCAAGATCAGCCTAAGCAAGAGCAAAACCCTGTCTCCACTAAAAATAGAAAAAATGTAGCTCGGCATGGTGGTGGGTGCCTGTAGTTCCAACTACTTGAGAGGTGGAGACAAGAGGATCACCTGAGTCCAAGAGTTTGAGGTTGCTGTGAGTTGTGATGTCACAGCACTCTACCTAGGGCGACAGAGTAAGACTCTGTCTCAAAAAAAAAAAGAAAAAGTAGCTATTTGCAAAATGTCTCCCATATGTAGTATCAATCATAATTTTATAAATATGAATTCCTTTGTCCAATACTTTACTTAATAACTGGTACAATTCTGCGAACTACTTGTTTGCTGAAAGAACACATACTTGTTTTCAAAAATACATATATTTCAAAGCATTTGTACCTTTTGCTTTTTACAATGGGAAACAGTAGTACTTTTCTCTTGTTCCTCAGAATCTTCACACTTGTCTACAGTGATAGGTCGTTTTTTAGAGCAATTTGGAACATTTTTAATTGTACACTCTGGACTTAAGGGCACCTTCACAGAAATACTAGATTTGTCGATGTTTTCTCCAGGTTGTATAGTATGAGTATCCATACTTTCATTTTCTTTTCTCTTTGGTGGGGAAGTCTTTCTATTACACAGCATTTGGCACAAAACAAAGGAAATGGCTAATTTAGGATTTTTAGCACATATAATCTTCATGTGTTCAATTGTTTTCATGACTTTCATAATATGGATCACTTTTCCTAAGTCTTTCCTCGGGGCAGACATGGTATTTTTAAGCAGTATGGAAAACTGACTGTAGTTGTAGTCTAAGTCTGTCACAGTGCTTCCATAATTTATAGACACTATATATGGCACAAAGTCAATATATGTAGAAATAGAATACTTAGACTTCTTCAGAAGCTTTTTTATTCCCAAAAGTTCTTGACGTTCTCTTGAGAGCAAGTGAAGAGCATAGGAGCTATTAACAGCGCCATTGTATTTGCAGATAATGCCCATGTCTTTCTCAAGTTCAGAAATAGACGTCTCTATCATTTTCAAAAGGCAAACATTTGTTGAGTTATCTTTAAGAAATGAAAAAGCAGCCATTTTTTCTTGGCAGTGAATTAATTCAGGAAGAAGAGACAAATCAAACCAAAGCATACCTCGGAACCTCGGTTCGTCCAGCTTCTTTGCCATTGAGTTTTTAAGAAAGTGAACTGTTTCTGAGATCATGACAATTTCAACATATGTTTCCACAGCTTCAGGTTTTAAAATTACAGCCTCATGGTTGTCTTTTTTTGCCATGTCCAAAACATTCTCTTCTGTGATAAAAATATTATCTATGTTGTCTTCTTGTAGCATCTGGAAGTATTTTTTTAAAAATTCTAAATGATCTGTACATCTTAAGGTGAGTTCTTGTAATTTTTTAAGGTCTGAAAATTCTGCTTGATCCAGTATTTCACTAATGTAACAAATATCTGGGTGTAAAAGCAAAGCATTATTAAACTTGTAATTTTGTATGGTAGTTGTTGCTTTGTTCATTAGATAATCTGACTTTCTGGAATCAATCATAGCATCCTTCTTCATTCCAATATCCGAAATTGGTTCAGTGTTTACATCTTCAGACAAAGTATCATATATCTTCTGCAACTCCAAATAAGCACATTGATTCATTTTGCGTATCATTTCTTTGCTATTTTTTCCTGAGTATTTTTTTCTAAAATATTTTCTTCTCTTTTTCCAAACAAGACTTTTTGCAGCATCAAAAAAGATATGTTCAAGACCATAAAGAGATATTTTAATATTTAATGCCTCATTGTTCTTGATAAAATTAACTTTTGAGGAGATCATTTCTATGATAATCCACAGATGGTCTTGTTTTCCTGGATATGAAAGAACTTTAGGAGAGTCCCCATATCTACTGATCAGCTTTAAAGTACTTTTTCTTAAAGTTTCTAGGTCTCCTAAACTATCTCCAAAGTTAACTCCACAGGTAAATGGAACAGAAAGAGAAAAGTCAAAACAATCCGAACAATGTTTCATTATGGCTTCACATTCATTAATCTGTCGTTTGTATTTTAAGAATGCATAGTATGAATTATTTCCCCTTTTTGTTTCTTCAAACAATTCAATTAATTGACCATGGTAAGTCTGTAACTCATAGAATGCATTATATTTTAATCTTCCTTGGAAAGCAGGATAGAAATTGGACTGCTGTTGATACCCATGTGGTCCAACAAGCAACTCACCGTACAATGTCTCATCATACCAAAGCAAGCTTCGGAATGTTGGTTCACCTCCTAAAAGCCTTTTTTTGTTTTCAATGAATTGAATAGTTTCCATCATCATTTGAAGTTCTACGAAAGTATCCACAGCAGAAGGTTTTAATTTGTGTTTACAATTATTCCACATGTTTTTTTCTACCAATGATTCTCTTGAAATCACAATTTGTTCAAATGAGCATTTTTGCTTTCTTTCAAAAGCTTCAACAAATGAAGGAAAACATTTTTGGCAAACCTTAGTTTCTTCCTGTAGAGCCTGCAAAGAGGATGCTTCATCTGCCCTCTGCAAAATTTCAGATACCTTAGTGATAAGGGCTGTGTGCTTAGCTGAGCGATGTTTTTCATTTAATTCATTTATGTATGATGTGGACTTCTGACAAGTGGTGACTTTAGAAGTTTCAGAGGGAGCATGTAAAACAGGCATACTATGAATTCCTAGAATGTCTGGCTTGGAAATATTGGTTGTTTCTGAATGTAATGTTGAGTCAGACTGAGAGTCACTACTAATTTTAATTTTCCCCTTCTGCTCTCTTTTGTTAAGCCGGTTAAAAACTGTGTGATTCAAAGAGACTGTATTTTTCATGGTTAGATGAGAATCAACCAAGTTATTAATTGTTTTATTATTTAAGTGGGAGGATTCTTTTACAATCTCATTCTTTCCAT